ACACACACACACACACATTTATATATATATATATATATATATATATATATGCGTGTATATATACATACGTATGTATGTATACATATGTATGTACATACATACTTACATACATACAAGAATATATACATACATACATACTTATATATATATATATATATATATATATATATATATATATATATATATATATATATATATATAGTAATAATAATTATAGTATTTATTATTATAGTAACAATAATAAATAGTGATTCATCCAACCCGGAAAATAAAAGAAACTTACACCATAACATGGCTGATGGTCGAATCGTCGAATTCTAGGTTGAAGGTTTTGCATACAAGTCTCGTATTACATATATCGGCAAGGTTAAGAAAAGAGAATATATTCTTCCGTACTTCTGGTGAAAGCCTTAGTAATGGGCTAGTACCATTTATCCCCATTGTGTCTACCATGCCTACATATTCTGTTCAAAGCATGCTGCAAACGAATCGCTGTGCGTTCTAGTATTTATATACATATATCAAATTATAGCCTTCTAAAAACAAACAGCTATGATCAAATTCATAAATACATGTTTTTGTTGTTGTTGAAAAACAGTAATAAAATACATAAATACATACATATATAAAAATATACGTAAAGACAGACATACATACATACACATCATACAACTTGGGGCCTAAGGCCGAGTCTTAACGGGTTCGGATTTTGCGTTCGGATATGAAATTCGGATTTCTCAGCCAATGGGTAGAAGAGGACTTTAAAATTTCAAGAAAATTTCGAAAAAAATTTCCGAACGAGGACAGTCTTTCGAGGGTAAGCAAACCCCTAAAAAAGTCGGCAGTTCGTTCGGAAATACGGGAATCGGAAAAATATGTATGTAAACTCGCTATTGCAGCTAATAAATGTACTTTGGAAAGGTGCTTTTCCAAAGTTACAAGCAATTTTTATTGGTTGTGAGAGCAATGTGCGTTTGGGTAATTTCTGACTGTGTTCACTGCACCTTTTTGTCTCACATCGGTAAAAAGCATACGGTAAACTACACATACACCCAAGTTTATACCCCTTTCGTATTTGCAAGTCATAGAGAGGTGCATTCACAATCGATATCTTCGTCTAATACAGTCTCCAACTATCTTCGTCTAATACAGTCTCCATCGTACAATAATTGCGGCTAGTCGCACTGGTAAATGACTATGCAACATATACTGCACGCTTATAATGAGCATGTGTGTTCTGTCTCTGTGAGTCCCTCCTCTGAGTTCTCTCTAGAGTCTCTGTCGAGCGAGTGTTTCTTACCAATTATGTTACGCGAACAGCCAATGGGTATGAACCAGTTTTCATGAGTCAAAATCATGAAAGTATACGTAAATGCAAGCCACATTTTTTTTCTTCAAAAAAGTCCAGAAATTGAATATATATATTTGACCTTTCCGAATTTCATATCCGAACGGAAATTTCCGAACCCGTTGAGATTCGGCCTGATATCCATATGATGCTGAGAGGGGGCAATTTACTATTTTTTATAACTTCGACGTACTTATTTGTACATATGTACCAAAAAAAACCTCCTATAAATATAACTTAAAAAACCCTAAATCCTATTCACACCTAAAGTCTACCCACCAACAAGAGAGAAGAGAGGGCAAGGCGGCAAGCCCGGCTGCCCCGGCAGTTGTTGTTTTTACTCACAAATAAAGAGTCACATTTAAAAAAAAGTTGTTTATCACCGAAAGCGTAGCTGTAGAGTCCCCATTTGGGGGCCCTCAAGAGGCCCCCAAGGGATCCTAAGTCCCCAACTTTGAGTCTCACTGCGATCTGTGTATGTGTGAGCCTAAAGATCGGTCCTGCCCCCGTTTTGTTTTAAAAAAAAATGTAGGAGTCGGCAACTCCTAATCGGGAAAATTCAGGATTCGCAGGGGAATCCGAATTTTGGATTATTTTTGGGTCTGGGACCATTCTCGAAATTTCAGTGCACAATGTCGAAAAATTGTGGCCAATGAATTTTGATGAGTCATCATCACATGACCTTGCAAAACAACTAAACGTAGAATTAATGAGAAATCGCGAATAGGTTAGAGCTTAAAGTTCGTAAACATTACGTAGACATTTAGGCTTAGTTGTAGACCTTTAGACCGCTACGGGTCTGTCGGAAATTGTATAATTAAGGTAGTATAATAGCTTGCAATCCTCAGACTTTAGCACAAAGGATTAAGAAAGGATAGAGGAGGATTGCCAAGACTACTTGAATCGTAGACTTTGACTTGAGCTGAGCCAAGAATCAAATAAAGGATACTACCGAGAATTTTTGCCCAAGTTTTTTGTAGGGTTTAGGGTTCCTAGAGTACTTTGTGGACTAGTATTTTTGGACTCAGGGCATTTCGGGTTTGGCCAAGGATTTGTGGAATCTTGGTATTGCCTGCCACGATCAAATTGGGATCAGGACAGGAAATTAGGGGCAGGGATCGTATAGAAACAATAAAGTAAAATGAAGATGTAAATATTCTTGAAAATCAGCGGTGCACTGAAATACCTCTTTGATTAAACGCTTTCGGTCCCCGCGGCGCCCCACCCGTGTTTTATTTATGTTTGGTGTTTTATTTTAGCTCTTTTTAAAAAAAAAAAGAAAAAGAAAAGGAAATATAAAAAACAACAAAATAAATAAATATGTAAGTACAAAACAAAAACCATAGCCTTCTGAAAATAGAACAGAAGGCTACGCAAAAACAAGTGTAAATATTTATTTTGTATTTATGTAACAAATGCATATTTAAAAATAATAATAATGGTAAATAGTAGTACATAGTGTTTACATTTACACAACTACACCCTGCTAAATTTCTAAAAAAAAACATGAAACGAGAAACGTAATGAGGAGACTCTCTGGCCCTGGGGAATTAACTCCGACCGCTCCGAAAACGATATCAATTAATAAATGACGTCATCATAAAACTACGTAGAAATCACAAGGCCCTCTGGTCTCTGCGCTCTCATTGGACCTGAGCTCTGGATGATCAGTCTTTAATTCTTTATCATCATGATGCATGATCCCGATATAAAAATATGCCCACGGCCCCACGGCCCAACGGCCCACGGGCCCACAGCCCCACAGTGGTATGTAGACAGGTGGTATGAAAGTAGTAAAGGGCAAGTTATTTACAGCCTAATACAGTTATACTATGTCTTATTTACAGGCCTGCAGCAGGGGAGTAAGGACTGGGTACATGAGAGTCAGAGACCCTGAGCCTCCTGAGGTAGGGAGGCTTCATGAATGACGGCTTGATACAGAGGCCACTGTCAGACCGCCAGAGGCCAGAGGGCCATGAAAAAAAGACTAGCAGAGTAAACAAAAATGTTCGAGAAATTCACAATAAACTTGTGTTGCTGAACACATTTCTATTTTCAGTTTTCTACACGTTTCACATTACTATAAATCTATATACCTTTATAAAACTTAACGGCACATTTCCTCTTCTCGTAATATTATATATAGATACTATGGTATGCGTGCAACCTAACGATGGCAAGAGCATCGTTGCTATCACAGGTGCCTCGGGTTTTATAGGTAGTTGGGTCGTGAAGAAGATGCTAGATGCAGGCTACCATGTACGTGCAGTGGTTAGAAATACAGAGGATGATGCGAAAACAGCCCACCTCAAGAAGATGGCTGAAGGGGGCAGTGAGGATCGATTAACTTTCTTTTCAGGTGGGTTATATGGTTTGGGTAAGTATGTATCTCTGTGATATTATTACAAGTATAGGAGTGTCCATCATGTACCTACAATGCTTAGAGCTACACAGCATGACATGAGAAAACCCATGACTAGGAGTTGCCCTTGTGTGGCAGGCAGGAACGATTGACATTCTTTGCAGACAGGATGCTTATATATATATATATATATATATACACACACATATATATATATATATGTATATTATACAACACAAACATACACACACACACATATATATACGCACACACACACACACAACACACACACACACACACACACACACTCATATATATATATATATATATATATATATATGAGACGATAGGGTGATGGGATGCATCAATGATATGTCCTTTACATAACTACCAGGTCAAAAGTGATCCATATGGGATGACTTAAGCGTATGGTGTTAGTTTCACATTGCAATGCGTAGATAAAAGGGTGGGTGGCTAACGTTGGAGCTGTACTCATTTATACTATTGAATCCCATCTAGGGTTGTCTTGAATCATCGATTATTATATTGCGTTCGCGTTGCCTAGAGTTACAGATGACATATAATGCACGTATTTTTAAGCAAGAAAACCACAAGAACGAATTTCTCACATCCGTTTCGAACTATTCGCACCTGATCTGTGTACAGGAGATCTATTCAAAGAGGGATCATTCGATGAAGCCTTTTTTTGGTGCCGATGCGGTGGTTCACTGTGCCGCTGTGGTAAGTCATTGTCGTATTATAAATGTACATTATATATATATATATATATATATATATATATATATATATATATATATATATATATATATATATATATATATATATATATATATATATATATATATATATATATATATATATATATATATATATATATATATATATATATATATATATATATATATATATATATATATATATATATATATATATATATATATATATATATATATATATATATATA